TGGAGCAAGCAGCTTGGCTTTCTCAGTCCTAGGGTTGCGCTTCGAACATGTACAGATGGTCAGTAGATTCAGGTAACCAGTTCCTGATCTAACTAAGTATACCTCCTCAGGCTAAGTAAATTAGATTCGGCTGGCCATTTTTTACCCAGTCTAATTTACCTGAACATCTGTACAGACCAGTATTTAGAGCAACCTAACCCTAGTTAGGTCAATCTAAGTATGATGTCTGCACATACCCTAAAGCTGCTGATGCTCCAGAGACTGCAACACAGCCAGTGCATCTTAATAGAGATTGCAATACCCTTTGTTACAGCAACTGCAGGACACATATCAACACATATCAGCAGCCATTTGATCACTGAGGTAAATTGACCATTAGGCTGGGAAAAATTGGGGGGCAAGTAAGTCAACTTGCTGAAAAATAGAATTTCAGGTCACCTGAATCTCATCTGAATGGTTTTCTACAGGAAAAAAAATCTGGGAAAAACAAAATAAATTTTTGTCACATCAATGTTTTCTGAATGAGACAATTTGACATTTTATTTCAAATTGTAGAACTGTAGCTAAATTAATTTAAAACAAAACAAAACAACCGAACAACCCTGTACATTTAATTTATTTAATTACAGCTCAGGCAAAATGTTCCATTCAATGCAAAATGGTATTTTTGGTTAGTCTTGGCAGGAAAGGCTAACAATTTTTAGTGACTTAAAAATAATTTTTTTTTCAGACTTTTAATTTAGATACCCAGTTGAAAAAGCAAATATTTGCATTCCCCAAATGGGCACTATCACCTTTCTTGTTACAAGCTGGGCACCTCTACATGGTACATTTACTGCAAACCTGTCTAATTAGCTCTACAGTAAACATCTCAGTATCTATACATGCATCCCTATTAGGGCACAGGAAACTAATAGACTCCACTGCAGGTTAGTACTTTTAAATACTGTGTGTCAGTGTTTGAATTAACAAGTACTATCCTGTGACAGTTTTTTTAGTGCACAGCAACATATGTGTAAATGCTGGCAGGGCTGGCTGACGCAGTAGGGCACATCAGTGCGGGGGCCGTCTGTCAGCTAGCGTTGCACTGGACCACCCTTGTGCCCCAGCCAGCCCCTCTGCAGCACACTGAACTAGGTTACAGCAGCCCCAGGTTGGTATACCAGTTGACCTCCCCTGGCCTCTTGCCAGCTGAGGCTGCTCCAACCCAGCTCAATGTGCTGTGGTCCCGGGTGTACATTCAAATGTGGTGCTCGGGAGCAATAAACTCCTATGTGATATGTATCAGAGTTGATTGTTTCGAATTAATTGCATGCGTAGGCATGCCCACTGTGTTAGAAAAGTGTTGTATACTTATAAGGGGTGGTGGGTATTTAAAAAGGAAGCAGCCTCATTTAGGAAACCTGATCCATAGAAGCAGAGGGAGTTCCCCATCACTGCTCAGAGTGAGAAGCAGGATGGGATTATATTTTAAGAGGTTGTGGCCTCCTGCCTGTACTCTCCACTCTCCTGCCTTGGAAACCAGGAACCTGAATTAAACTAGATTAAATTAATTCTTGCTAAGGCTTTGTAAAGGCCCTGTGTACTACCAAAGCTCTAGAATAAGGCTGTGTAGGATGTCTCTGCAAACACCTGCTGGATGCCAAGGAAGTTTCCTCAACAGCTTTGCATAGGATGGTGTGTAAAGAGGTTATAGGAATACCTACAATTAAGCGGATCCAGAGGGCTAGAAACTTTTGCTTTAAAGCAGCTACGACAGTTATTCTAGTCTAAAAGCTGGAATAACAATTATGGCTGGTCTGTACTGTATTCCATAGCCTGCTTACAGATACATTCTTCCATTCAAAAATCTCTTCAGAGATTGGATTTAAGAGTTCATCCTTTCTGCTTCTTCCATAGCAAATCAGGGTTGACCTCTTATGTGAATAAGTTTTATATATATATATATATATATCCCTGAACAAGGAGTTGAGGAGTTTCCCATGTGTCAGTAGCCCACGAGGATAATGATATGCCCTTTTAGCAATAGTGTCCCCTCTCTGTGCAGAAAATTTGAGGGTGCTCCTATGAAAACATTTACCAGCATTACCAGGAATGCAAGAGATGGGAGAAGGCGGTATGATTAGGAAGCCCTATCTGGAGGAAATAATTTATTGTACATCTATTTTAGACACTAAGCAAGGAAGTGTCATGATTTCTCCCATTTTTCATTCATCATTTCGGCTTCAAACTCTACAAGAGCAAGCCTATCTACTCAATTTTCTAATGGAAGTGCGGTAACAAGGGATTCATTTTGGTTATTTTTAAAACAAAGTCATGTTTTTCTTTCCTTCTCCCTGAATTTGTTTGTAGAATTCAGATTTCCTGCAAGGATCTCAGACTCACAGTCTGAGAAAAGTTCCCTATGGTTTTCTTTGTATCTGATGCACTTGGAGAAAGAACACTGTCACTAACTCCCTATTAGTGACAGTTCGAATTAAGGCACAAAATATGTTCAATTTGCAGCAGCTGGTTTCACTAGAAGCTAACGGAAGATTCATAACTATGCAACTAAGAACATAAGAGAACATAAGTAGTGCCATACCAGGTCATAAAAATGGTCCATCTAGCCTAGTATCCTGTCTCCAGCAGTGGCAGGAGTAGATGCTTTAGAGGGAGAGCATTCCATTGGGTATATCTGGAGTGATCTATCCTTTCCCTCTTCATTACCCTCCCTGGCATTGACCACCACTGGTTTAAAAAATGCCACAAGCTATATCTATATGTGTTCTGAATTTCAAACACAATGCAAGAGTATGATGCTTTTGTTTTATGTAAATATGCATGGTACCTTTCAAGAATATGGATATTCTGAAGATAAATTAACAAGAGTTCTATTAAAACTGTAAGAAATATTATTGAAAGTACATGGAAAAAATTCTGCATTGCATGATCTGTGGGCAACGTCCATGGAATCTGATTCTTTTTTAAGACCATCTGACCAGCTTTGAAACATCTTTTGATGCTTAGGTTCTTACTTCTTGACAACTGTAAGTCCTAAGCATTCCTAGAAATGTACATGTTTGGAGCCGTGGATTTTGGAGCTTGCAGGCACAGAGTAAGCTTCCTGAATTTTTATAAAGAATAATACTATTTAATTTTGTTCCAAATTCATTTCAGAAGTCAATGTCCAAACATTACTTGTCTCCTTCACTCGTAGTACAGTCTTTGCCTCATCTGTGCAAATTACAATGCCATCCATGTCCACTAATTTGCTGTTAGTTTTGGTGATATAACATAGCTCGTCTCTGCATGCAGCAACAAGATTATGGTGAGGGTGAGGGTGAGGGTGAGGTTAAGCGAATGTGTTTCAACACTTCTTTCTTGGTATTTATTACCATACCATAACATTCCTGCAGCCTGGCTTGCTGCTGCTCGAGCTGCTTATGTAAACTTCTAATGGAGCGCAGCAGCAGAAGCCTCCGATACATAGTTAGCTGAAGTCGGTATTTCTCCTTTTCTTCCTGTTTTTGCTTTTCAATGGTCTCTGTTACTTTCATCGTTTTCATCCAAATAGTCTGGCTCAGGCTACAGGGGGTCCAAACTTTCAATGGGCCTTCCAAAGTTAGCTCTGTTTTGGAGTTCCATGTACGACAGCAGCTGAATCCACTTACTAGCAGTGAAGTAAGATTCTGGGGGAAAGCAGACACTTTAGCAGCATTTGAAAGCTGTGATTCTTCAGATTTCTGATTGGAGTTCCAGAGAAGGCTTTCTGAACAGGGAGAAGAGATGTCTACTGGCATCAGCTTACAAATCGCCACAGGATAAGATGAGGCAGCTAATGGCATATCTGCATCTGTTGAATGATACTCTGTGAACCCAGAGGCTATGTTTTGTACCTTGTTATGAGCAATCAACTGGTGTCCAATGAGGGTTTTTTCACATGCTATGGCCTTGCCAGATAGAACAGACAATCTTGCTGGCACTATTGACCTTTCCTTCTCTTCATTAGAGCTACCTTGCAAAGGCTCTGTAGAGCAGCAGTCAGCTGTGGTTAGGGCGTGACAAGTCTGAAATGAATCTTCACCATCATTAATTTGTGTCTCCTCTTCATCTCCGGACATCAAACCTACTTCCTCAGCCATTTGCTGTATGAACTACAGAACGAGTCTGTGAACAAAGTGGAAGCAAGAGGATTTCATTTCCACAAAAAAACTAATGCCCAGTGACATTTGAAGTAAGAATATCTCTTTATGTTTAAGCAATGAAACTATTACTTTTCTAATAAAGCACAACCTCTGGGTCACTTCAGGCCATTTCTCATGATTTGCATTAGATGTTCTCTGAGACACAACATTAATCCAATAATAATTAAAATGATATACTGTACTATTAACATTCTCAAATCTTTAAAGCAAAGTGATCTATGCCTGCAGCACTGCCTGTGCTGACTAATTAAACAGAATACAGTTGTAAATGGCTATTGTAAGCACTTCCCCCTTTTAAAAATATAGCTTAAGAAAGTGTAGTTTATAGTAATAGGAGAGCTATCAGTACTGATCAGATTTAAACAGAGGCCAATGTACCATAAACAGCAGGTTTTATTTAAATACCACCTCCCCCCCAGTGAATTCTATCTCCTAACACTTTGCTTACAGTGTTGTTTCTTTTCCCTATTAATTCTCTTCAGTACAGCTATATGCCAGGTACTCAGAAAAAGGAAAAGAGGACTTACCGAGACTGGTAGGGGAAAAAGACTTACAGTGCTCTATGCCTGTGCATCATGTTTTCTCGTACATGAGTCAGCACAAGCTGAAACAGGAATTCATCCCAATGCAGAAGCAGCAACAGCAGCAGCAGCAACATTAGTCTGTTCCACCCAGCAACAACAGATCCTTGCAAGTGAGCCCCAACAGCCACAGGAGTAGAGCTGTTTTCCTTTAAGGATATTGTGCTCTTAATATCCCTGTTTAACTATGTGCACGGATTTGAGCATCCAACTAAAAAAAAAAATCAGCCACTTCACACAGCCTTCCTTTTCACTCTTCCTCCACTGTAATTTTCTGATTCTAAAATGAATCTGGAAGTCTGCACCTGCTAATCTCTGTGTGAGAGCTAGCAGTGTATACCTAGCTCAGCACAAAAGAGGGTGAGGCATTCTGGACTCCTGTACATACACATCATTTCCCTTTCAAGAAAATAAACAGCAGTTAACTTTTAGGAACTAAATCTAAAAGCAAAACCAAGGGAAAAGTCAGTGAGCATCTCTGAAAATCAGGCGTGGATGCTTCACACAAACACCAGCAGACTCTCCCTACACCTAAAGAAGGGTGTTTGTACCCAAAAGCTTGCAAAGACCAATTTTTCCAACTATGTTGTTTGTCTAATAAAAGATACCACATTTACGAAGGGCTGCCTTTTGGGTCCAAGGTCTTCAACTTTTGGCACCTGAGTTTGAAAATGTTGGCCTTAATGTTTAAGAGAAAAAGATTAGCAGTCTGTACTTAACCAGACCACGTCATGTAGTATAAATCTCCCTTTGTTGGTTTGATTGCGTGAGAACCACCTTCTTTTCCAATTTGTAAAGCAATGAGCCAATTCATCTTTCATACAATTGCATTTATTTCAGTGAGTTTACATAAGGGATGAATCTACCTCATGCCTTCTTTAACTACATGCTGCCATCTTCATTATGGTCATAAGAATAAAATAAAAGACCAAGCTCAGCTACCATCTAGACCTCAAAGTAAACATTTTTAGACTTGAAAACAAAATTGTAGTTGGATCCTACCTCTACATCTCAACATTGTCTGTAAGTTCAACTATACATATCTTCAGAATATCCATATTCTTGAAAGGTATTGTACATATTTTGTTACACCGATAGTATAGTTTTCCGGTTGGTCTGTTAAGCAGGATACAGCCAAACCTTGAACAGTGAACTCCAAATAACAAATTCAGATATTTACCCAAAAGTCTGACTTGAGCACAATTTTTCCTGTGCAGACACTATTATGCTCTGAAGTTGTAAAATAACAAAACGTGTTTATGTGCCAGATCCTCATCTCATGTAAATATATGCAGCGATAGTGATTTTAATGAAACTTCACCAATTTACAATGCCTGACAATTTAGCATATACATCCTAGTGGGAAAAAGATACTGAGTTTTTAAACAATGCTGGAGAAATATTTAAGTAGGTAAAATAATAAACCCTACAACAGTGATTCTCAACCAGAGTGCCATAGCTCCCTGGGGTGCCCTGATATCTTTTCAAGGATGCTAGAGGGGACCGCACAATGTTAGTACTTTTAGGTTTACAAACATAATTCACAAGATAAACTCAAAGATTTCAAATAGAAATCCATAGTTGTGATCTTTCCGAGTTCTTTGCAACAGAAAAACGGCTCTATTCTTTTTGTGTAGGCAAAAAAGAGTGGCATTTTCTAAGGGCTATCTCAAGTCTATCCAGGGATGCCCCAAGTCTAAAAAGGTTAAGAACCACTGCCCTAAAACCTTAAATCCAAGTGACTCCCATTTATTTGGATCCTCAGTTACCAAAATGACTGCAATGGAAAGCTGTAGAATTCAGATAATGGGGATTTTATTGTATTACACAAAAAATGTTACAGTTTAGTTTTATTTATTATTTTACCTTTTGGCTGCTCTCAAACACCTCTGCAGGGCATGCTTTTCAGCTACATGAGGATAGATATATGTAGATGGGTGAGTAGGTTTCAAGTATCAAATATTTTCAGATTGTTGTGTCAATACTTTTCTGTCATTTATGATGTCCTGTGCATCTTTTCTGCCTTTGTAGAGACTTGCTGGAAAATAACTACAATTGCTGTGCAGACAAAAATTGCCTCCTCTGGAGCTTTGCTTTGTGGGCAAAATTTTGCAGATAAGTTTGCTGTTTTGGAGGCGGTGTACAATGGAAAACCTATTTCACATACATAAAAAATACTTTTCATGAATATAGTATAATGATGTTTTATATGTGTGTGTGTGTGTGTGTGTGTGTGTGACAGGATAAAATGAGTGACAGCTGATAAATCAGCCTACCCAGACTGTTCCAATAAAAACCCAAACTCATTGACCAAGATGGCTTTTCACAGAACATTATAATGACTTCAGTTGTAATCCATGAAGCTTAATTGCAAAAATATTCAGTCCAATGAATTTATAGACTCAGCACATTACATAAATACAGATAGAAATGCATATTTATTACTGCTGAAACACTAGTGACATCTGTAGCAAAAGTTGCATACATATTCCTGTTATCATCCCATTTTAGTTGTTCACAGCCTTCTAAAATTTTACCTTACAATATCAGACTGAAATTTTCTATATATGGTCTCTGTGTAAAGGTGATTTTTTCCCTTTAAATTTTTTAACCAAAAATATTTAACCATTTTTGAGAATAAAAGGAGGGAAAATAGACATTCCCTTAATTATAAAATAAACCTGTGACCTTTTTTTTCTATAATTTTTTTGAAGAATATTAGTTCTGTAATGATAAGGAGTGAATGTGTCAGGAAATACCTTGAACAAGGAATAAGATTTATACTTTAAGTGTTTTGATAAACAGTGTTTCTGAATTACACTCAGCACTTCTAGGTAGGGTACGGTTCTTAGAGTATTAGACATATTTGCCTAAGGCTTGGCTACCTTCTCACTGTACTGGCCAATGCAGAATTTCGTGGTATGAGAGCTATAGAAAGTCTGGTACATGATGTTGCCATTTATTAGAGTTCAAAAGTTCAAGATCTTAAGGAAAAGAAGAGAAGAGAGCAACAGAATAAAGACAATGAACTTCAGATGAACAGAAAAGCAGACAAACTCTAGGAACTGGTCAGTAAGAGCCCCTGTAAGGCAACTGTAAGGGGAAAAGGGTTCCAGGAAAACTGGCTGTAGTTAAAGAAGGCCATATCAAGGGTGCAAGAATAAATAATCCCAATGGGCATGTCTACACATGCAATTAATTCTATATGGGTTTACTGTGCAGAAATTTACTGCACAGTAAACCTGCCCTGGGCAAGTGTCTACATGTACAGCTAGTTGGGAGTAGATTTCCTCCCCATGGCACTAGACTGCACCTCTTCTGGTGCTAAACTGCCCCCGTGCAGCAGCCAGGGAGACCTGGAGGCTCTGGCCACAGCTGTCTGGGGCCAGGGGTACTTTTTAAAAGGCAATCCCATGTGGTGTCCCCTGGCCACCTGCATTTTTGGCCTGAAGCAACCTGAAGCATGCTGGCACAGCCTTCTCCGACACTATTGCCAAAGCCTGTGTCCACTGTGTGATGGTTGCTCCACCCCTACACCCCAGGAATGAGAACCCATGCCCTGGACTCCTGCCTTCCACCCTCCTCACCATGCTTTGCTGCTGCAGAGACCACCACCTGGCCCAGGTAGGTCTTGACCTTGCCTGGCCCCCTGTACTGTGCAGCCAGGTGGCCAGGCTCACAGTGGCATCTGAGGTCCCCTGCCTCTGTACTGACACTGCCCAGCCCTTAGGCTGCCACCTGGACCCCAGCAGGGATGCTGACAAAGTGCATGTGGACACTGCCACCTATGTCATCCATGAGCTTCTGGGGCTCTAGCCCCATTCCCTGTGGGCCCGTTCAGCCAGCCAGGACTGGTGGCTGCACATTGTCCAGCACACCTGGGATGATGAGCAGTGACTGGACTTGTTTCAGATGACCCAGGCCACCTTCCAGGAGCTCCATGACCAGCTCTGCCTGCACCTGGAATGAAAGGCTACCATCGTGCGTCTTTCCTTCCCCATGAAGACCCATGCTGAAGCTGGCCACGTCCGCCAGCCTGCACTACATTCAGCATGGGCAAAGAAACCACCAGGGAGGCCATTATGGAGGTCTGTGCTGTCCTCCAGGATGTGCTGGGGTACACTGTTCTCTGAATCCATGACCTGCTGGAGGTGGGGTTCCGTGCCCTGGGCTTTCTGCAGTACATTGGGGCCCTGAGTGGGACTTACATTCCCATCATCTACCCACTCCACGGTGACTGCCCCTACTACAGCCGGTGTGGCTTTCATTCCACTATGCTGTAGGCTGTTGTCAACCATAGAGACATCTTCACCAACATGAGTGCTGGCTGAGCTGGCAGCACCCACAATGCCCTGGGTGGCCCTGGGCCTGGGTGGCCCTGACACAGTGGCTCTGGGCCAGCTGGCAGTGGAA